TTGGTTACCTCCTACCTACCCCAGCTGCCTGGTCAGAACCCTGCCTGATGATAGAAGGAAAAAGCCCTAAAACCTCCAGAGACAGTGATCCTCCAGAGAGGGTTTTCTGGAGAGGGAGCTAAACTTTATTTCTTTTTATTCAAAATAAATAATGTCATGGCCATGTGTAGTTGTCCTGCCTTAGTTACAAAACCAGATACAGCTGGTGTCTTTTTAACCAAGTCCAAGGAAGGAGGATGCATTATCTGCCACTGACATCAAATTTGCAAACTCAAACCTTGGTTTCCAGAGGACAAAGAACAGAAAGACAACATCGATTTCTCTGCAGCACCCAAACTCATCGAGGTAAGAGGATTATCACAGCAGAGATGGTTAACCATGTAAATTCCACCTGCAGGCTGCTACCGGGGAGAGAAGAGGGATGAAAGAAGGGGGAGAGCATTTCAGTTTTACTTAGAAGCGTCAGTAAGCTTTATATATAGTAGGGTTATATAGATATAGATAGAGAGATAGATAGAGAGATAGATAGATAGATAGATATACATACATCCAGGACACAAACTAAGCCATAATAAATAGGAAGTATATGGTAATAACCCCATGACAGGTATAAACAAAATAGCACAGAAGTGTCGAGATGTTCTAATAAAAATAATTTTACAATATATATACACATATAAAATACTTCCTGAAGGAAACACTTTAAAATATTTTCTGTAAGGCACCTAGGGGAAAAGAAAGAAAAAAAGAGAAAAGGCAGTAAGACAATATGCATTAAGATTTAGAACTTAGCAAACATCTGTGACATTAAAAGAGTTCAATGCTATTGCTGAATGGATTTTAGAGGGAACCAGGTTGTGCTCCCTTCTTGTTTCCCTAAGTCCTTCTTCACACTAGTCTATTAACAACATCAGCTGTCAGCAGGTTAAGGAAAAGAAGTACGAAAACTAAGCTATGTTTCTTCACAGCACTGCATTCCAAGTATAAAGCTACAAAAAATAACTCAAGTATGCCACTTAACTGACTACCACATAAAAAGGGCTTTTAATTACTGCATAAAGACTAGATTACATTGTTCTATTAAGAGATCGGGAATGTTCCAGATGTGCTAAAGTTACCCTGCTTATAGTTTTTCTCTATTTATAAGTCACAGGTAGTTTCCCTGCAGTTCTTCCACGCGCAGAAGGAACTCAATCACTGTATCCTTAGTTAGTTTGAGTTACTAAAAGAACTTACCTGAAGAATTAACCTATCTCCATTTCATCTTCATTTCTATGATGAGGAGGGGTAATCATGGGTTCTGTAATTTCATATGTATCTACAATCTCCTGGTTAGAGATGACAGAAGTACGTAAGTTACAAAAACTGAATTATTTGCATTTCATTGCAGTCACATAAGTAATAAGGTAATAAGAAGTCACATAAGTAATAAGGTTTCTCAGACTGAAGCACTATTTCAAATTACTACGTATCTTTGAGCAAGGGACAAAAGGGAGGAGCTGTATGTGCTAAAAACTACTTTTTGTTTAAGATCTATTCCAAACAGCAAGCAGTGAGGAAATTGTACAGAGAACTTCCCCTCTAAAAGCAAGTATCATACCTAAAGAGAAGAAACAGGCACTATTTATGCAGTCCTCATACAGAACGGTAACAGCAAGTCACTGCATAACTTAATAGCACTTAAACTGGGCAGGCTTCAATGGCCAAAGATGAAATTGCTACCCCAATTTTCAGTTTCCTTGCCGTTAAAAGCATTCATTTAGGTTTGTGATTGTTCTGGAATCCATAAAGTTAAATGTAATGCTAATACAGGAACCCCTGTCCTCATCAGAGTACGTAACAGTGCAGTAGATGTATTCTTACACTTAACAACAAAAACTAATCAAAGTGCTGTCTATTATACCTTCCATTCTTGATAGCTCAGAGACAAGACCACCTGGTTCCGTGCTCCAGCACTATGGCCATCCTCCCCTCCCTCGTTGTCTTCTGAAGGCTCTGTGCAAAATACAGCATTTTCAGAGTCTTTATACTCATAAAGTCAGTCTCCTCCAGGCATACAAAAGCTTCACAAAAAGCAGATCAATGATACATGCTGCATGAAGCCAGTCTCCAGCAATAGCCTGTCCCATACGCTTCTTAAGAAATTTATTTAGTCTCAACTTCTAAAAATTGAGGAAGTAACATTTCAGAGTCACAGAAGGACCTAAGTATTTCATCCTTTCTGCAATCCCACCAGTCTTAGTCCCACCAATATCCCATGAGAATGAAAGTCAAAGACCTCCTACATAGGCTGGCATTTCCCTTTCAACTGTTCTGAAGATGCAGCACTTCCCAGTGCAGATAAAGGAGACTTCCTGCATCCAGAAATATATTTTCTCAGCAAAACCTAACAATGTTCATGTATGTGTTAGTGAAGACATCACTTCGAAATAACAGGTTATTTCCTTTCATTAACAGAATTTATCTCGATCAGCATAATGGCCTTTTTCCATATTTTGATATTTAAACAGACTCAGTCCTTTCAGTTCCTCTCATAAATCTCTCCATGCCTTCAATTACACTCACTGCATATCCCCAAATCTCTACTCTTCCAGCTAAAAATATACCTGAAACTTTGGGAACACACAAGATGTAGCTACTTTTCAATAACAAAAAACCCCAGTCTTTTAAAGCTACATTTTACCTATTATTGGCAATTTATCTTCATCCAGCTTTATTCTTGCAAAACCATCCTGAAAAGACAGGGTTTAAAGTTTCAGAAATTAGAGCTATCTGATTAGGATAATGCAGTGAGAGTTCATGTTTTAATATATTACATCATCACAAACAAGGACATGTATTGATACACAGTCTTAGTGGCACACCAAATAAGAGTAGTTTAAATACAGCATTCATTGATTCATAAAGAATGCAGCTGATATAGGACAGCTGGTAACCTGGATTAGAAAAAACATCTGTTTTATTAAAAATTATTACACATTAAACATACTTGAGTGAACCCTCCATAATCATATCGCTATTCACTATAAACCTGAATTTAGACAAATGTATTTCTAAGTTTCTCTTTTCCCCAAATTCATGTTATTTATTAGACAAACTAAGTATAAAGTGCAAATCTGCAGATTCAAAAGGTGCATTAAACACTGCACTAACGTACTTACCTACAGCCTCAATAATGCTTCTATACCCTCTGCCTACTCTTCTACAATCTAACATAATGTGAGGCAGAATTCCTTTTTGAGATGTGTATTGACAGCAAGAATTTCATTATTATTTTGTTGGTAAATTGACTACAGTAGAAAAATCCAATACAAAAAATCATAGTCAAGTCTGGTTTCTTTTTTAGTCAATTACTAAAATATCACAGCCTGTTTGTAGAAGACAAATTAGGATTCCTAATATTTCAATCCTAATCTGTCAACCTTGAAGCCATAATAACAAATAATTCCAATATCTAAAATAAGATTGCAAGAACATGTCATGCCTTACCCTTATAATGAAGGACACATGAAAGATGTTTTCCACAGTGCGTGCAAAAGAGTTGGGATCAATCACAAGATCAAAGAAAGAAATAGGTGTACTAGCTGGAGATGGAAAAAGGGGGGTGTTAAAAAACCAAACAGGAGGTATACACAGAGCAAGCACAAAGACAGGGCTCCTTTAAATGCTAACTGAAAGTTTCTGTCCATTTAGTTACAAAACTGAATTCCCAGTTGCCTGCAGAACAAAACAGTTTCTAGAGACGATTAGTTTCTTCCATCTTTTGCCACACACATACATATACTTGGTAACTATTTGATGCCCCTCTAGAAAATGGTGTGTTCTAGTAAGAGGAAAAGGGGGGAAGATTTAAATTTACTTTGTAGCAAACAGCAGGCAATTAGTGTTCATAAATCACAGTCTGTATCCTTCAACATAAAGATTTCATAGAAGCCTGGAAGAACTGTAAAATCCCAGGCTGGTTTGTGTTGGAAGGGACCTTAAAGCTCATCCTGTTCCAACCCCTGCCATGGGCAGGGACACCTTCCACTAGAGCAGGTTGCTCCAAGCCCCTGTGTCCAACCTGGCCTTGAACACTGCCAGGGATGGGGCAGCCACAGCTTCTCTGGGCACCCTGTGCCAGCGCCTCAGCACCCTCACAGGGAAGAGCTTCTGCCCAAGAGCTCATCTCAATCTCCCCTCTGGCATGTTAAAGCCATTCCCCTTGCCTTGTCCCTACAGGCCCTTGTCCAAAGCCCCTCTCCAGGTTTCCTGGAGCCCCTTTAGGCACTGGAGCTGCTCTAAGGTCTCCCCAGAGCCTTCTCCAGGCTGAACAAGCCCAGCTCTCTCAGCCTGTCTGAGAGGTTTCTACTTGCAGACTCCACCTAATTTTTTTTCTACAGTTTAATCACTCTTAACTGCAGAAGATTAAGAGTTCATCTGCTTAAGTTAATGCTTTAAACGCTTAATGGAATCATACTTACGATCATTTTTAAAATGAGTTTGCAATAATCCCAAAATCCTCTCTACTTCTTTTTCTGTAGCTTCCTGATGAGACTCCTCCATTTTTTTTAACTGGAAAAAAGAAACAGTTTCACCTCAAATAACTAGTGCTGCAAGTCAAGAAGATGAAAAGGGCCTTTTAAAAACACCTAACTTAAAAGGTGAATTTTTCTCTCTACTCCATACATACACAGTTACAGACACGTATGCAAACATAAGACAACTTACACACTGCTTTAGAAATCAATTCCCATCTCACAGAATCAACCTGAAAGGCTGTAGTTTGAGCTTATTTACAGGTCTATGTTTCCTTTCCAATAGTTCTGTGGAACTGGGTTATGCCTAGTCACACAGTCTGTGAGTTTACTGTAGAAGTTTATCAATAGGTGTACAAGGGCAGTTCATTAAAAGAAAGAAAAGTTAAAGATCTTTTCAGAAAAGGCACCCAAGTTTGCATGTAGGAAAAGTCATGGTCAGTGATTCTATGAATTTGCCTCTACGTACTGGCATTATCAGCCAGAGGCTCCCTATATCAACATGGTTTATTCTTTCAAAGGAAGCCTCCCTGGAACTATTCTCAGACTTTTGCCTTTCTGCAGAGTATGATAGAAGGAATGGGAAAACAGAAAGCAGGGAAAATAGTGGTTAAGGGAGTCAATTAGTCTGCTGTTACCCACATTTCTGTGCTAATGATGTACAATGTTAGCTGCTTTCTAAATAAAAATAGAAAACACGCTAATATAGAGAAGTTTCTTTTTCATTTCCTTTCAAAGCAACAAGCATCAGAGTGAATAAGCTAATTTGAACTCATAAATCCAGTGTGTAAATCCTATTTCCTTCCACTCAATGAAACACTGAGGTTCACACAAAACAAATCAAGAAGCCTAACAGTGAAGTCTGAATTCTTTAGTCTGGATCCTTAGGACTATACAGTTCCTAATCACAAACCCCAAACCAAAATGAACTAGAAAGATTTAAAAGTCAGTTGTAATAACTGTGCCATAACAGATCATTAATAAAGATAACAGTTCACAGACCTGAGCAGGCATTGCCCTTTTTTCTTCTCTTCCTGTAGTCTTTTTCTGCCTCTCAATCCGTTGCCTTGGTACAGGAGGATCAGACTTGAAAGATCCCAACCTAACCAAGATAAAAAGAACACATATATGGAAATATATTTTACATTATATGCTAAGAAATCGATATAGCGAGCAGCTGAGCTTCTCATAAAAGAGCAAAGTAATGACTGATATCTAAAAGTAAAGCCCCATCATGTGCAGAGATTTCTGTAAACAACCATCCCCAAAGGTTGCTCCCAATATATGTGGGCAGCCTCATACCAGAGTTATCAACAGATGTATAAAATTTGATGCAATTATTCCAACTTTTTAACAGAAAACTTTAAATCTCCTTTTCTGAAAGCTAATTATGAAATGAAATTCATATCCTCCCATATCTCCATCTGAATTTATTATGGACTTTTCTGCCTGAAAACTCTCTCCATACAGTATTTATCTCTTTTTTAATCTATTGTTCAGCTTCTGTAAGTTCAGGTTTACAGTCAGCTCTCTTTTTTTAAAGAAAAAGCCACACATTTTTCATATATAGTTAATCAATAGAACATTCAGTACACTAAGAAGAGATCCAATGTTCTCATTAAACAATATGAGTATAACACGTGCTAGATTTCAGCACTTTCTTAAAGTGCTTACCTCTCTCCATTGACTATATAAGGAACTTAGGCTCCTAACTTTGGGTGCCTTGAATCTCCACCAAGCTAGATGCCTAAAGGAGAGAGTGTGAATTGAGACTCAACTCAAGTTAGTTCAGCAGGTACCCAAAAATTCTGCAGCACTTATTTTTCCCTATCTTGGGCAACTTGCAACTGCTCCATTTCAGAAGTCACAGACTAACCATGAGAAAAAATAACTCAGGCCTCAGATAAGAATAGATGGAGTCAGAAATTAACAGTTCTTTTCCTAAATTGAGATCCACACTTCATTATAGTAGCACTTTGTATTCACACATCCTCCATCAAAAGAAGCCCATCATTACTTCAGTCAAAATGCAACTAATGAGAAAACATTTTCTTGCAGCCAATTTTTTCTTAAAATAAAAATGTTTGGGAAGCATACTTATCTTTTAGAGCTTGAAAGTGCAAACCCAAGTTTGAAACATCTCAATTAGCCATCCATCATTAAATATCAGATACTGTATGATCAAATTAGTATATTCAGCAACCTGCCTACAACTACAGTGAGACTTATGGGGGGCATGGGAGAGGATCAAACATAAAAGCATTGACAACTGAGTAATATTCTCTCAACTCTACTGTTGAAATTTAATTGAACTAGATCCTGCTATGGCTGCCTTTATGAGAGATTTAAATTGAAGAGTTGTCTATAAGCCAGGTGACTAAGGGTCATTTGACAGCAGCTAAAAAGGCTCCTACTAAAGGGTTGCTCATGCATAAGGACAGATGATGCTGATTCTACATAAGGCCACTTGCCAGTAATCAGGTGATTTCTTCTGAAGGCAGAGCCAGAATGCAAGATTCTAAAAGACAACCCATTAACACAGAATTACAAGAACTGTTGGTCTCTTCTTGATAATACAATCATCAGGTAAAAGAGACAGACCCTGATGGACTGACCTTACATAACCATCTAGGGTGGGGGGAAAGGGTACCTGTATTTATGATTTTGGCTGCAACTTGTACAGGGGGAGAAAGACAAGGGAAGAGTCAGCTTTTAAGGAATGAGTATCACTTCTACTGGTTTTGGTCTCACATAGGTAAATCAAGAATACCCTGCTATCTCTACTAGATACAAGTGATGCCATTCTGTAGTCAAGCCAAAACAAAATCAGAGAGAGAAATATTATGAACTGTTTTGGAGACAAGGAGTTCACTGCACCATAAGAACAAAGAGCACACATCAGTTCTTGTTGACACTCTGTGACCCAAGATTAAACTCTACTCAAGCCCAGGGCATTGAAGGTAAGAATCAATTAAGGCCATTAACTTGTGCTGCAGTTTATACTATTTCCTTAAATAAACTTACATGTAGTGAAAAGAAGGTGCTCTTCTGAAGTACTTTTCTGTTTGTTCTCCCAGTTTATGCCAGGCATCATTAGGTAGATAGCCTGAAATGCTGTCAGAATCACTGTCATTTTCTTCTACTTCTATGCGATTTATACCCATGAAGGTTAACTAGAAGATAAGAAAAGCTGCAATGAAAATTCACTTAGAGAAAGATCAGTAAATACATTACTGGTGAACTACTGTTTTATGGTGTTTGTCCTGCTAGATTAATACTTAATATCACTGCATAAGAACGTTGACTTCACTGCAGATACTATGAAAACAGAAAAACACATACACGCTTGTGTTCAGCAAGCATCAGCAAGCAATGAAGAAAAAGAGTTATAGCTAAATAAAACTGCCTATATTCCAACAGAATTTCCATGATGTACAATGTAGGATAGTGGAAGGTGTCCCTGCCCATAGCCAGGAGCTGGAACTAGACGATCTTTAACGTCTCTTCCAACCCAAGCCATTCCAGGACTACTTAAGTTGCACTATAAAGCTAAGATGTCTCACAGTTTCTGAACACTGCACACTTCCAGGAAGCTTAGCTCCTCGATACCATAAATCAGCTTATTTGACTCGACCCTGCATCCACCAGCCAGACTTCCCCAGGAAAAACTTCAAAACAATTGAACCTTATGGGGCTTTTTTCATATGGCAGAGTTCTAGACTTGACCAAAGACTCACACTCTTTATTAATCTGCTGTAACACAAGAGAGAATTTTCAGGGAGGGGAGGAAATTAAAAAGAATAAATTCTTCTTCAAAGCTATCCTGACCTGACTCTTCCACCCAGACACAATACAAACATATCAAGTCTAAAAGCATGCAAGTAATTCAAAGCCCCATGTCATGTCATGCAAAAACATATAAAGCAGTAGAGAGGATAAAGAAACTACAAAACAGTGAGCACAAAAGCACACAAGGCTACCTAAGAGCATGTACTGAAATGTGATGAAGTAGCAGCAATGCAACAGTGGGAGGGGATGTCTGCATTTTAAGTTAGATTTTCCCCTCTGCATACTGGAAATGCTCAATACATAGTTCAAAACAATTACCAACACTACCCAGAAAGTTAATCAAAGAAATTCACAGGAAGAGTGTTAAATTCCATCAGAACTGTCCTGTACTGCCTGAAAACAGATTCTATAACAAACAGGGCAAACCCCTAGCAAAACTGTTGGCAAATTCAGTCTAGAACTTACCAAGTCCTCTGCAAATACTAGTGAATCAAATGTTGTCATGTCAGAGTGCAACTCATTGGCCTTCTCCTTTCCTAGATTTGAGGCTAAGACAAGAAATTGGGCATCCAGCGCAGCCTCTCGTGCACAGGAAACTGTTACAGGAAAGATTTTATGTTAATAATACGAAATTGTCAGAACTATAGTAAGAAAACTCAGCATACAGACTATCCTGGGTATAAAGCTTTATAAATCATTTTATTGCAATGACCTCCAACATCTGTACTTACATAATCCTTATAATAGTATTTGCATCTAAAAAATGAGAAGGAAAAGGAGAGGATGACACTGATGAAGACAAGCATGGAAACACAACACAGTATCTTAAAAGAATAAAACACCTCCTTTATTGACATGTTTTTCATCTCTCCAAGTGAAATGAACCCCTCTGTACTGGTATCTTCTGTATCTACTGCTTACATATATTGTTCTGCAGTGTCAAGATAAAGCAGTGAGAATTTCCAAGTGCAAATAAACGCTACAGTGATATTAGTTTTCTCATATTAATGTATTCAAACAATTCCTCTTCAACTACACATATCTATTTTAAGTTATACTTTAATAATTCTGGTGAAGTACTGGAACTTCAACTTCATTCTCTTGCCCTTTTTTGCTTCTAAGGAGTCATCACCTCACACTCGGCCAACTGTCAAGCAAATACCTCTAACAGGGACCACAGAATTTGGTTTACCTCCACTAAACAGTTTATTGGCTTCTTCCAAAGCTTCCGTCAGTCTGTTGCTTTTTGAACTCAGCATATCCTCACGATTTTCTGGGGGACAAACAAACGAAATCCGGTATTACTTAAATATAGAAGCATTGAAAAATAGATTTCCACCTTAATCAAAACTGGCTGGTTCATAGCCCATCATACACACAAAAATACAAAATACAGTTACAGGACGTTAATTGCAAGATTATGTAGGCACCACTTTTATTAATGCTTATGCATTAACTCAGTTTGGAGTAATTGTTCATTTACTTCAATGGAGTAAGATTTATGTTGTAGCACAGGATGCTGAGGTGCTGGCACAGGGTGCCCAGAGAAGCTGTGGCTGCCCCATCCCTGGCAGTGTTCAAGGCCAGGTTGGACACAGGGGCTTGGAGCAACCTGCTCTAGTGGAAGGTGTCCCTGCCCGTGGCAGGGGTTGGAGCTGGAGGAGCTTTAAGGTCCCTTCCAACACAAACCAGTCTGGGGTTCCATGAATTTATATTAGCAGATCCCTCTGGGTTCCAGTAAAATACTTGTATATGTGTCAAAGCTACTACCAGGTACCATAGCTACTACCACAGTAGTACCAAAGCTACTACCAGGTACCAATTTCTGCACACTATTCATCTCACCCATAAGTTAAGGATTTTCATGAAAGAAACAAACAAGACCCCAAAATGCATACTTGGTGGTTTCTGAAGACCACTATGTTGAACACAGTTACTTGTATATCACAGTATACGTATAATTTAAAAAGACTTTCAGATGTCCAGTTCAACATCTCCTCACAACACTGCTTTTAAGGACTTACACCATCTTCAGTGGCCTGACACAGCACTGCTGTTTTCTGCATAAACACAGACTGGATGATCCACGAATTGCATTGTATTCCCATGTAAAACAACCCTACAAATTCACTGAGCATGCAGAGTACAACCAGCACCACACGCTGCTAAATTCGGCAGGGCTTACTCCAACAACCACTGTTACGTTCCCATGAGAAAACCACCACGCTCCAAAAATACAGAGGGGAAGTGCTGACACACCTATCTAAAGAGATGCTAAAAGTCCCATAGCACGTTCTGGAAAGCCCAAGAACAACTTTCAGATCCGGGCAGTTACTTGTACCCACAGTTCCAAATTAAACCTCAAACACCATTAAGACAAAAATGAAAAGCTTTGGGGTTATCTCCAGGGCTGGAGCTAACAGTTTGGACCGCCGCATCAATGCGGTTAAGGAGGGTAAATCCCTCACAACCCTGCTACCCCTGGGCATGTAAACGCTTCCAGGGAGGCAGATGTGGATCCAACCGCGTTCCGGCAGCCCAAGGCACTCGGTGTTCCCAGGGGAGCGTTACGAGCTCCCCCAACAGTGAAGCCGGGC